ACTGTAGCAGTAATCATACTGTTTTCTTAATTTGACCTCATTTATCTTCTTTTTTCTTTTCTCATTTCAAGTACTTAAAACTTAGCATACTAATATTAAGACTTATGTGATACAGCTACCTGCTTGGAGTTAGTACCATGGACAACAAGGTGGAGGAAGTGTCTGAAAAATTGAAGTCAAGTTGTGCTGAGGATTAAAGAACAATGTAAAGATTGACTTATTGATGTGTTTTTAACAAATACTGAATTTTCTTTTGCAATTTGGCACATTGATCCATGATGAATTGTTGAATTATCTTTTGATATGTTTAACGATGTATGAATTGTGAAGTCTTTTGATATGTTTAATGGTGTATGAATTGTTGAATTGTGAAATTGTCTTTTGCTATGTTTAATGATGTAGTTGGTTATTGGCATCAAGTGTAGAGTATTAGCTTTATGAAGTACTATTTAGTTGAAATTGTGACCAATATACAAGTTATATGTGGATGATTGGGTAGCATTAATTGAATATGCTTTTATTAAATATAAATAAATAAATATGTTATTTACGGGGGCTTCACAATCCGTAAATAAAAGTCTTTACATTATTAACGAAAGACTTCTGACCTCATAAATTAATTATTAACGAGAGGCTTCTGACCTCGTAAATTAATTATTAATTAGAGTTTTATAACCTCGTAAATTAATTATTAACGAGGTCAGTTACTTTTCATGAATTAGTTATTAATGAGATGACTGGTGTCTCGTACTTTACTCTTTTACGAGCACTGTTATTCCCCGTAAAAAGCAAAGAGCATTTATAAAGGCATAATAGACGAGGGAGTCATGTGCGCCGTGAATATGTTTTCACGAGGTGTTTGGGCCTTCGTAAAAGACCTTTTTCTTGTAGTGAAGCATGCCCCATCTCCAGTGCGCGCATTGGTTTTACACACCGAGCCGCCGTACCCAAAAAGTCTCGCCCAAATTCCGTACCGACAAGGGTACGTCATCCCAAAGTTCCCCAAGTATGATCGCGTAAAAGGGGATGCTAAAGAGCATTTGCAGCGATTTGTAGAGTCCTTGGGCAGCATAGCCATGACGAGGTCCTGCGCCTCAGAGAATTTTCAAAGTCCCTCACAGGGCTCGCCTACAAGTGGTTCCGAAGCTTTGAGCCAGATTCAATCACCACGTGGCAGCAGCCCTTTCACAAGTTCCACGCCAAGTTTAGCCAAGCCATCGAGTGGGTCACCACCCTCTCCCTCACTAAAGAAACACAAGAGCCCCTTAAGTTCATCTCCCGGTTCCAAGCCCGTGCAAAGGAATACTTTGAGGGTAGCAGCGAGAGAGATCTGGTTAACATCTGCATACAAGGCATGAGCAGAATTTACAGGGTACACTTGGTCAATTTGGGACTCAACAGCTTCAGTAATCTCACCACAGTTATACGGAATATCTGCAAGGACCTTGCACCCCCCAAAGTAGAAGTCGCTAGACAGGCCACCCGCAAAGAGGCACCAGTTACTTCTCGCAATGACAAGGCCAAGAAGCGTCATGAAGTAGACACCAAGGCTAAGGCACCTCGTGCAGAGCAAGATAACGATCCTCCCCTTTTCTCAATTCGTATGGAGGAAGTGGCCAGCGCCCTCGAGTAGTGAGTTAAATACAGTGTGGTCGCACTACCCATCCCTCACAAAGAGCCAATAGCGCAAGATCGCGCCAGTCCCAACTTCTGCATCTTTCATCAAGCCACCACGCATCTAACAAAGGCCTGCCGAACTTTAAAGTAAATTTTTCAGTAGCGACTTGAAGATAGTGACCTCGAGGTGACCACGCCAAAGGATGTGCGACGTAACCCTTATCCTCGCCACTATGGTGTAGCCACAGTCACTTACTACGATAAGATCGCAGAATCTAATCCCCCGTATTCACAGATTCAGTCAGAGTAACGTGAGGACAAATGTTGTGCAATAGCTTCGTCGAGCTAGCCCACCTCCCAGCAAACCCCATTAACCATTTCCTTCTTCGAGTTTGATAAACAAGTATCTACCCCTCAGAACCATCCACTCTATGTCACCGCATATGTCAATGGTATGGAGTTCCGACGTGCTTTTCTAGACAATGGATTATCTATTAATGTTATGCCTTGAACAACTTTCCAGAAGGCCAATCTACCTCATGATTGCCTTATCAAGGAGGCCATAGAGGTATTTGGGTTCGGCAACGAGTCCCACCAAACTCTTGGTTATGTGAATGTCGATCTGGCAGTTAACAAGTTTTGGGCTCCCATAAAATTCCACGTCATCAAGGCTGACACCTCCTACCATGTCCTCCTCGGGCGGGCATGGATGCATCACTTTAGCATCATAGCTTTAACCTATCATCAGTGCTTTAAAGGCATTTTGGGCAACAAAGTCATCACCGTCCCTTGCTCAAATAAGCCCTTTGCCAAGCATAAAACCCACTTTGCTGAAGCACTTTTCTTTGATGAGCTGGAAGACGAGGACGAAGAGGACGAAGCCAACATCATTCGCACCTAACTGCCTAAGTGGGAAGAAGTACAGTAAGGAATCTTTTACCCTCCACAGCTGTACGTACCTCGCCGTAGTACAGATGCCATTGCCCCTCGTGAATGCAAGCAGGTTCGGCTGCCAGATGGGCGATACGTCTACCATTTATGATGGTCTACGGGCTCAGCTTCTGCCAGCCCAGTTGTTGAGCCTACGCCTGCGAAAGTGGAGTCGCCCCAGCCTGCAAACCTCGAAGAAATCAATCTCGCCCCTATTAGACAAGAGCCGCGGAGCACCTTGATCTCCTCGCATTTAGATCCATCACTATGAGACAGTTTTATCTGTCTTTTGAAAGAGTTTTCAGACATCTTCACTTGGACTTACAGCGAGATGCCATGATTGGACCCCCAGCTTATGACACATCATCTTAGTACCATACCGGGCTCACATCCCATCAAATAAGCACCTCGAGTCTACCGTCCAAGGCTCGAGCTTTAGATCAAAACAAAGGTCGAAAACTTACTCCTCGCAAGTTTTATTAGACCAATCCTACACCCCACTTGGCTGGCAAATATTGTTCCTGTGAAGAAGAAGAATGGGCAAATCCGTGTCTGTGTTGACTTTCATGATCTCAATAAGGCATGCCCAAAAGATGATTTCCCTCTTCCAATCATTGATACATTGGTCGACGCAACGGCTGGGCACTCCCTCTTTTCCTTTATGGATGGTTACAATGGCAACAACCAGATATGGATGGCGGAAGAGGATGCCCACAAAACTGTATTTCGAATGCCACTTGGCAATTTTCATTACATCGTTATGCCCTTCGGATTGAAGAATACAGGTGTAACCTATCAGAGAGATGTGACTACTATTTTGCATAATATGCTGCATTGCACAGTGGAAGACTATGCCGATAACTTAGTGGTGAAGTCCAAGTATAAGAAAGAGAATATCTAGGATCTACGCCATGTATTTGAAAGATCGCATGTACAACCTGCGCATGAACACCCTCAAATGTGCACTTAGGGTAAGTCAAGGCAATTTTTTGGGGTTCTCAGTGCATCGTCAGGGGATCGACCTCGACCCCACCAAGGCTCGCGTAATTATAGACATGCCCCACCCATGTTCTTTCAAGCAGCTTAAGAGTTTTTTTTTTGGGCAAAGTTTCATATTTGCACAGGTTCATACCAGCACTCGCTAACGTCTCTCACCCTTTCAGCTCGCTAATAAAAAGTAATGCCAAATTTGTCTGAATAACTGCTCATCAAGTAGCCTTTAAGAAGATCAAGTCCATTCTTATCTCCTCGACCACAATACATCCACCTATCATAGAGCAACCCCTGCAACTCTACCTCACCGCGACTGACAGGTCTATTAGTGCCCTTCTCACGTAGATGGTCAGCCACCTTGTCCATGAAGCCGAAGCTCGATACTCAACCATTGAGCGTCACTGCCTCACGCTTGTCTTCGCAGCACAGAAATTCAGGCATTATTTCATGGCCCACCCCATTCATTTCATCACACAATGCGACCCGTACACACATCTCCTCTCTAAGCCCATCATTTTTGGCAAAGTATCACGTTGGCTCTTAGCCATTTTAGAGTTCGATATTGCATGCCACGTACCATGAGGCATCAAGAGCCAAGCTCTAACTAACCTACTCATATAGTTCCCAAAGTAGAGGCATGAGCCCCTCGACGATGCCCTACCCCTCGACGAGCCCTAGGTTGCCGTGAGTGGCAACTCGCTTTCAACGGGTCCTCTACCAGTATGGGGGGGAGGGTTAGGAATTTTTCTCACATCTCCAGCTCAGCAAATCACTGCGGCCTTTAAGCTCGCCTTTCGCTGCTCTAATAATAAAGCTGAGTACGAGGTGCTAATTCTCGGACTCCTCGCAGCCCTAGACAGGGGCATTTTAAAACAATACATCTATGGTGACTCTAAATTGGTCATCAAGTAGGTAACTGGTGAATATGCCATCCATGAGCCTTCGCTCGTATCCTACCACATAATCATTCAGAGGCTCCTTGCCAGGTTCCCTTTTGTCCATTTTACTTATGTATCTCGCTCCAACAATCGATACCCGGATGCGCTCGCAACATTGGCTTCCAAGCTAACAATTGCAGATGATATGACTCAAGTTCATATCACCAAACACATTGGCCCAGCCACAATCACCGAGTTTTTCCTAACCAAGAATGTTCCAAACAATGACTGGCGAGCCCCAATCATTAATCAACTCAAGCACATGACGGGACCAATGCTCATCACACACTTAAAATCATTTCAAGTCTTACAGGGGCTTCTATACTTTTGCTTACCATGTTAAACATTGGCTAGATGTCTAGATCCCAAGAAAAAGAAGCAGCCCTCAAGATAACTTATGAACAGCACTGTGCTACCCCCGTCGCACTGCATCGACGACTCTGGCGCCAGGGTTACTACTGGCCAGACATGGCAATATAAGCCAATGCCCTTTAGCGCACCTACCCACAGTGTCAAGCTATGATGGACGAGACTGAGGCCTATGTTATCAATGTTGCTGATTGGCATCGCCCATTTATTGAGTTCCTATCGTATAGCGCCCTCCCAGAGGACAAGCAGGCTGTAGCAATAATAAAAAGAAAGTCTACACGGTTCAAGCTTAGAGAGGGTGAGCTTTTCTACTGCGCTCTCAATGAAACGTACTTTCAATGCTTGGCTCAGAGCGAGGCCATAGAAGCACTCAAAGCGGCTCACCAACTGGAGTATCAAGGCGTGCGCAAGCTTTTTGCACATTTGTTATACAAAGGATTTTACTGGCCCACTATGGAGCATGATGCCAAGTCTTATGTGCAGAAGTGCAAGCCTTTCCAGCACTACCACCATCAAATATATACTCCAGCTACACCTCTCCATCCCATTGAGGGCCCTTAACCATTCCACACATGGGGACCAGATCTCATTGGACCAATTCATCCACCAATGCGAGGTCATATGTGGATTCTTGTAGCAATAGAGTTCTTCACCAAATGGATTGAGGCCATCCCCCTCAAGCATGCAACTGGCAGGGCGGTCACTTCCTTTATATAGGAGAACATCATCTGTCACTTTGGAATTCCCCATTACCTCTTCACTGACAACGGTACTCCTTTTGTGAATTCAGATCTTGAGTCGCACTTTCAAAGAAAGCGCCACCACATGGGTTGACTAATTAGCCCTCGAACTCTGGGCCTATCGCACTTCTAGCAAGCACTCTATCGGTCAGACCCTATTCTCCCTTGTCTATAGAGCTGAGGTCGTCCTGCCAGTAGATATCCCAATCCCCACAGCACAGCTCACCTCATGAAGTGGGGTTCACATGTCTCGAGATAGCGAGTTGGAGGCCCTCGACGAAAGACGCGAAGCAGCCCTTCAATATCTTCAGCAGTATCAGTACAATATAGCGCGAGCATACAACAAACATGTCTAGCCTCAATAATTCAGGCTAAGCAAGCTCATCCTTAAGGCAGCCCCACACACCATGCAAGGCCTTTCAGCTCCAAAGTTTACACCCAATTAGGAATGCCCTTACATTGTAAAGACAACTAGTGATAGTGGTTACTGCACTCTTGAGGGCTCTAATCACAACCCAATTAACAATGTCTGGCTGAAAACTTACTTTTGCTAAATATTTGTAAAAAGTGTTTATTTTACAAGGAAACCCTTTTTGGCAAATGCGCGACGCTATCCACTTGACCAAAAAAAAAAAAAAAGTGTGAAATAACACAACTTCTTTTCATTTAATATTTTGAATTACAATTGTCAAGTCCTTGACTGTTACATACATACATCAAAAAAAAAGATAAAGAGCCTAGCCTATGTAAGAGGATAGCAGCGAGTAGTCATCATCAAACTCCTGTGAATGCGCCGCCATCACTGCCAAGCTCTCTTGCTCCTATGCAAGCTCTCCTTCCAATTGCTCAATACGTGTTTTTGTTTCCTAAAGGCACAGTGCGAGAAGTCTCTACCTTAGGCACTTCTTAGCCACAACTACCCTCCTTCGCAACCATAGAACATGAACCTCGAGCCTTATAACATCTTCTAACAGGAGTGCGGCCTCCTTTACGAGATCGTCATCAGTCAAGCCCTGCTCGATTTTGACAAATATCTCTAAAATTTTGCTAAGGCATAAATACATTGATTGTTGCACAAGTGCATGGCGTAAGGATAAGAACTGTGACACCTCAGGATGTTGGGATAGAGCTGTCTCTAGCAAACTCACATAAGCTCGAGGGAATGGCATACCCATCCACTCAACTTCTGAACTCACAGCATCTCGCTCAACATCATTTCCCCCCTGAGTCCCAAGCCCGGCAGTAGTAACTTGTTCTTCCCCGATACCCCCCTGCAGTTGTGAATCTTGAGAGGTTTGCTTGTCACCAGGAAGTGAGACCTACCTCATCTGATCCTAGATTGCATCCTCCATATGCACATCTATTTGTGGCTCAGGATGGTTCAGCGAGGCTTACAGATCTCCTAGGGGCGAGGTTTTCCCCCTCCTCCATTCGAGCTTCCCTCGTTTACAGGGGAATATTGTCTCATTCCTTGCACCTCCACTTCCTGTGTTTCCTGAGGACGCAAGGGCTCTGGTACTCCCAAAGGAGAAGTTTAGGTTTCCTTTGCATGTTCAGCTTGACCTAGCACCTCTCGAGAGGACACCTCTATATTCTCGCCCCTAAGTGCCTCGAAAGAGTCCTCACCTAAATTTTTTAACACTTCGAGAGTTAGGGACTTGGACCCCTCATTTTCCCCCGTTAACTGGGCTTCGTCTCAAGTAGTGTTTATCCTCTCCCTCATAGGGCCTGCTTCCTCTCCAATATTCACACTATCATGAGGCAGCTTTGTTGTGCTGGAGTATTCTCACATCATTTCCGCAACAGCTGCCGCGTGGGTACGAACAGGTACATCTCGCATAGTAATAAGAGGCGACACGTCTAATGGGTTCAAAATCTCCACTTTTTATTCCTCGACTATGTTGATATATCCTCTTGAGCACAACAATTTAGAGCATTCTCGCCTAAGGCTCGCATAAAGTCAAAAGTGGGTAAGTTAGGAAATTCACTGTCAGAAGCTAATACCTCACCAGAGCTTACATTATGTATGGTGACATCAACTCCACCATCTCGCACACATTAAAGCTACGCACCCCACCCTAACTTGGTCCAAAGGCAGAGGCCAATGAATCATACTCTCCTATAAGAGTGTGTTCCTCATGATCCTCAGTGGATGTATCTATGTCCACACTTTCTGATGACTCATCCATAGGTGGAACCCTCCTAGGAGATTCCATTGGTCGAAATATGCTTGGCGCTGGAAGCCTTATACCCTCCTCCCTCGTAGTAGCAACTACCGGCACTACAGTACTCACAGTTGCTCATTTTCTGGGTACAGCATCGCACAAGAGGTGGCCCTCGTTTTATGTCTAAGGGTAGGCGCTAGAGCCACTTCAGCCTCAGGAGCAGACGTTGCCTCTACAGGTCGCGAGGACTCCCCCTGTTGCATCACTGCCGGTGCAAGAGCAAGTGCGAAACCACAATGCACAATAGGGACCCTATCCCTACCTGGCAGAAATAGTGCACCAACCCTTCTCTTAACAATCCAATGTGCATTGCCACAAATCTCGCAAAACTACTGTCATATGAATCTCACCCCCAGCAAAGATGTATTGCGATGACACCCCCCGGTCAAAGCCAAATTGCAAAGGCACTCGACGAGGCTTATATGTCTTCAATAACTGACCACCTTCCCAAATAGCGGGCAGATAACCAGGGGTGATGCATAGCAAAAAAACCAACTCCTCACTCGCATTCAGTCAATAGGCCCCTGCGGGAATATATTCATCATTATCAAAGTACATGGGCATAGTTAACGCCTCGGGAAAGGTAACAGCATAGGGCGAGCAACAAATTGAAAGCTCTGGTCTAATGCATACCCTAAACGTCCTTGAGGGGCACGCCCATACCACTTCATTCCTCGCACAACCTCCTCATCCACAACTAAGTCTGCAGGCATTGAAGTATAGGGCTGAAATCTCTTATACAGAAACATCTGTAAAAATAGGGTAGAAATATAGGAGCCATATACATAGTGCCCCACAAAACGCACCATGTCCTCCCTACCATATCTAGGCGATGGTACAATGTCCCCAAAAATAGGGGCGTGAGTGCCACTTTCACCACGCTCACCAATTTCATCGCGAGGTCCATAAAGCGTGGTAAGACAGCATCTTCTGGGGTGCCTTCCAACACATACCTCGACAGCCAGCACAATAGATAGGCAGCGAGACCAGAAGGATAATTAGCCCAAAGACCAGGAATCCCCTCTCTACCCTCACCAAAGAGGTCCTTCTTTGAAAGAGGAAAGTCTCTAAAGTAGTAGCGCACCAAAGCCCCGAGAGTGGCTTTACGCGAGGCTTTGCCTCGAGAGGTATTGCGAACTCCCTTCTTGCCCCACAATGTTCTAAAGTCTTTGGTCTTTTCCAAGGCTATTTCGAGGTCTTGAGTCAAAGCTTCCTCATCTGGAGTAAACGCCCATGAGCCAGGGTTCTCTACACCTTAGAAGGGCAAACCCAGCAATTGACTTACATCTTTAATACTGGGTGTAAACTCCCCCCACGCCGTGACAAAAGTGTACGAGCTTGAGCTCCATCGTGAAGTCAACTCCCATAGACCGCCAACATCGCGAGGAATGTGTAGCTAGCAAGACAAATTTGTACAAGGCAAAAGACTCGTCGAGGTCAAAGTTGCCTTATACGCTGGGTTGGTAAGAATCGCATCAGTCCACGCCTCCCAACCATGACCAAGGCTAATGTGATTAACAAAATTCACATAGGACCACAAGTATCTCCCCTGCTCAACACCAAACCTTAAAATAGTGCTGCAGGGATGCGCGGAGATAGGTTAATGTCAACCTCCTCCTCCATCAACTTTACAACTTCTAATGGTTCGCCGGGAACCACAGCCCTATTTGCCCAGTGCCAAAACATATAATTTTTCCTAAAAAATGGTGCTCGTCTGTAATACCGCTAATTTTAAAAAGGATATAATTGGAATTTAATGTTTTTTTCTTGTGCATTTTAATGGAATATGTGGCTGTGTGCTTATATGGTAAATTAATGATTATATGAAATTATTTATGATGTGTTTATTTAATTGTTTAACTTGATTTATTTGTTTTAAATTAAAATTATATGTTTATGTGGTATTTGTTTAATCAGTTACTTGCATAATTGTTTGAATTAATTTGTTTGTTTTAAATGGAAGTTCTATGTTTAAATTAATTTAATTGTTTAATTGAAATTAAAAGTTTATTTTTATGTCAAGGAGTTGGGCTTGGATAGTAGTAATGGACTAACGGTTTTGGGTCATATGGTTTACTTGGATAGGGGATTTATTATATGTATAATGTAGTTTTAGGGTTTTATATTTTTATTAAATCGCCGACTTATACATATAGTTAGTTTATTTATTATTTTCTTTTCTTTTGCTGTTGCGTCTCCTCAGTTAATTAGAATTAGGTTTTCCTACACACTTATAAATATATCATATTAAGTCTGCCTAGGGTTTAAAAAACAAAACACAGAGACTCTATTCACGTATACAGAAGGTTCATGTATACAGAGAAGGTTGAGAGAAAAATAATGAGGAGAATTAAGGTTTGGCTAAGGACAAAGGCTGAACTAAGGAGAGGTGATTGACGCTTACTTGTGGGTTTGGACCAGAGCAGTAGAAGGTTGACGGTAGTTGGAAGTCATCGGAAAAATCAGAGACTACGGTGCAAGGTTTCAATTCGAAACCTAGAAGCAAATTCTATTTCTTGCTCTCTCTCTTTGACCTGTGTTCTGTGCAAGCCTAAGTAGTCTCCAGGAACTTAACGGATATTAAAATTGGTTATGT